TCTGGTTTGTTTCAGGTATTAGTGACTTTTCATCATAGGTCACGAATTGGCCATAGTCATGACCGCCTTTTCGTTAATGAGCTAATCCACAGTTTGCTCAAATTGACGTTACCTACATTTTATTCACATGCTGTTCTGTTTTTCTTAAAACTCTGATTGCCCTAAAATTGCTCTTTCAATTAGGTTTTCAGGCTTAAATCTCGAGTTCTAGACAATGTATAATTTTGCGATGGACTTGCCTGTAACTTTTTCATCTCTCTAACACAATAAACTGAGTCTGATCACGTCTAGTCAGAGACGTGGGTACCTATACACAGACGGTTTTTTGCAGATTTTTCATAAGTACATTAATAACATGCTGATTCATTTGCATGAAACATTTTATTGCGTAATGTTAAACTCCTGTGTTCTCTAATGTGCAAATTGTGCTCAAATTTGTGGGACTAACTGAAGGGGAAAATGGCGATTAGCAAGCAAGCGTTGTTAGCAAACGTGAGCGAACACTAATGTCAGTCGATCAACTTGAATACACCTCACGTAGCAATGTTCATTCAGAGGTCGATATTAAGTGATCCTATACACACTAAAGACTATAATTTTGTACAATCACACTAATACCGTATCTGCAAATTGGTCAGACTACATGTTATCTGCGGTCTTTTCTCTTTCCTCGTTGGGCCTTTACAGTGTAGGTCGCGACTCACTGGTGAATTTTTAGTGAATTAAACACGTAATTATTCACTTGCGTCACCAATTCATGGCTTTAAGTTTACGCTTCACCAAAAAACAACGGCAGATTAATATATCTACATTTAGACCTAAATACATTTAAGTGGTCTCATGTGGTGCATTGCAATTTTTTTTTAAAAGAAATACTTTGGATTGAGATTTAGATCAAAATAGCTTACATGAAGAATAAGACTTGCGGTTGTCCAACAATCAGCGATTTCACGAGGTTTGAAGGAAAGGGAAAAGTGGTCTCGCCATAAGGTAGTAAAGCGGTCAATGTTGATTCAAAATAAGTTAAAGATTTTAAAGGAATAAACTGCCATTTTTAACCGACAGTTGGAACTGATCAAATAGAGCAGGTTTTCGTCTGAGTTAGCGACATGTTTTGTATGCGCGTCCTTAGTCCTAGTCTCCGTCACCCATTTCAAACCTCACAGTGCCACAAAGCCCTGCTTTCATTTAGATATTCCAAAAATATTGATGAGTGTTTTAATCAACCATCTACTGGTCCGGTTTTGATGGACCCTGGATGTCGATGTTGTTTGCCATGTTAATAAATTCTCTCAAAATATTGCCTTCAGCATCTGTTAGGCCATCTCACTTGCAGAAGATAGAGTAGATTTTGTTGTGTAAACTGGGTTTGAGTATTTGAGTACCCAAAATCATTTTTTTAATATACATCTAAATTTCCCATGGATTCTTAGAAATCATTTGCCAGATAATATGTGACTCTTGAAAATGACAATCATTGTCTAAATATGTAATTTTCTAAGTGGAAGGTATAAAGCTAACTTGCATTCAAAAAAAACACTGCGTCAACAGCAAAACTGAATGTTTTTCTAATTATTTGTAAACATACTGTAGTCAAATTCACCTTGTATTTCATGGGATAAGTTGTATATTATGCTAGCAATGTCTTCTAGTGTCTACTCTTTAAAAAGAGGTGTCCTTCAAGTTATCTTAAAGCATTTCTAAGTTGATGGAACATTTCATCCTTCAATTGGGCTCCATCTTGCATTAAGAAATTTAAACCACAATATTTAATTTAAGAAAGACACATTTTGACGGGAAATTGGGGTTACCGCTGTATTATCTTTTAGTGACTAACATGCTTACACTGTTTGTTGTGAGTGGAACAATGCACCTTTTAGCCACTTTTGTCGATAATGCGTCGTAATACCACTGTATCAACGCACAACTTTCTCCCAACGCTTACAAATTTCCGTTGGCTCCTCAGAAGCTAACTCGATCACAGAATGTAGGCCTGATTCCCTCCACACCCGTAACACTGCTAGGTGATTGGTTAAAATTGTTTCCTTGTCCTTAGCGTCAATTTTTTGGTTGAACGTAGATGAAAGTGCCCAACACTTGATTGCACACTTATTCGTGTTTGCAGCTGAAAGTTGTAGCGGACCCATATTGTTTCGATTACATCACCTTTACTAGGTATATCAGGCAATTTCGCACTGTTGACCACGAATTCATTAGCCAAAATGAGAATTCTTTCAATATTTTGTTTGAGATTCAGGTTAGCTCCCTCTCAAAATCCATAGTACTTTTTCAATCTAACGCCGACTGGTTCTGAAATCCAGATTGACACTCGAACCAAAGCGACACTGGTACCTTATTAAAAATTTTTGGGGAAACCAAATAACAACAAAATTGTTACGTTTTGCCCGTAAGAAAGAGAAAATCACTCAGATAACGATACCAGATCGCTAGAACCGACCTTCCCACGCTAGCACAAGAACAAGACCAGAGCTCGTGTAGAGAGCTTTACGCGCGTCGGCCACGTGCGGAGTCAGTTATCAAAAGTGAAACTAATTCAAGTCAGGTTGACCTTGACTTGATAAAAAGCGCAACAAAACACATGTTAGTGATTTAGTGTAAATAGTGCCAGAAACCAACGACGAGCAATCTTGGGGAATCGTGGATCCCTAACAAAAGCACCTTGTTCATTTTATAACGCAAGCTCAAATCCTTAGAAATGTTCAATTGTTATTAACGGGTTTATGAGCATGTATGTTTTGCCATCATAAGGCGTGCCTACGAAATAATGACTGTTTATTCGACCCCAAATATAGGCGCCTCGCCAATAGCTGGTTACTCATAACATTATTGCGTTGATACGAAATTTTTGCAGTCTACAAGTTTCCTACTTAAAACATAGGTAGGTTTGATTAACGAAATTTGTATTTAAATGAGCTTCCATTGTCTAACAGCACGTTCGAATGCTCTTAAATTTGTTTCTGGTAACTTTTATTACCTGTTAAGTGACTGTTGATGCGTTTTTGATCTAGATTAGAGGGACATCGCTTATTACTGCCTCTAATTTTTAAATTAAGTTGTGAATACCCATCGTGGTACGTGTGACTTAATTGGAAACGGGTATCGATTAAGTTATGGAAAGTTGAAGGTTCTTAGAACATTCGAACTGCGCTAGCTTATGCACTCCTGATAAGCGCATATTCTTCTAGATAGTATTTAACGCACATGACTACTAACCGTTTATGTTTTACGTGTCTTGAACGCAAGGTCCAAACCATTAAAGTGGGCCATGTGTGCACGTGAGTATTCCTTGGTGATCAAAAAGATAAGGCATGTTCAATTACTCTTGTATTGCAATCGCCCACAGCGGAAAGTAGAAAAAGCAAGTAAGGATGCAGGAGTCATCAACTGAAATGCAGCTAAGTAAGCTCAGAAATGCAAAGTCTGCTCTCACATACTACTTATTAATCCGATGCGACGAGCCAGCCGCTTCGACTTTCGCTTCACTTCCAACTGTATGAGATCAAAACACATGGCTACCATGGCTAGTCCAAACAGGAGGTAGACGAGGGCAGAGATAAACTTATTTGTCCTGTGGACAGGATGGGCGTCGTCCATCCCCGGCAACATGTCGCCAAATCCAATGGTAGACACGGTCACGAAGACAAAGTACATGGCATCCAGGAAAGTCCAGTTTTCCCAATACGCAAAAATCATTGCCCCCATGAACAAGTAGAGGAAGAAGCTGCAGAGAATCAACCAGACGGGTATGCGCACACTCCGGCTTTCTTTTCTCACTCGCAGGGCTCGAGTGAAGACCGAGTTGGCTCCAGCCAGGGTTATGAACAAACTCTCCGTGACCCCAGGTAGGGGGGTCGCCTTTTTCACTAGCTGCTGCAGTGCAGAGGCCTTTTTATCGATTCTGATTACAGCCCTCCCGGGCGTATTTCTTAGGGTGAGGGATGGACTTGACGCGGCAGCAGCAGCAGCAGGTGCTTTGCTCATCCCATTGGTTTCTATGGCTTTCGTGGTGGAGGATGAAGGCGTAGGCAACGGCGATTCCTGCTTTCTGTCACGTGCAAAACGGCAGCAAATTTTTTTGTAGGCTATTCGGAATACGTCCGCCATCAAACTACCCAGATTGGCGAGGAACAAGAGCATCATAGGAATCCCGAATAAACCATAGAAGATGGTAGCGAGGCGGCCGAATTTTGTCACTGGAACAACTTGGCCGTATCCTAAAAGGGCAGAAATTTGGGGTTTGGTCGTCGGGTTCCAAGAAATAGGTTATTAATTTATTGACTTCAGGCATCATAACTGAGCAGAATATCCCGAAAGCTGATGCACCAATCAGGTTTCAGTGATCAAGCTTGACAAGCTATCCAAAAAGCCTTTTTAACATCTAACCGCCTAAAATTCTAAAGCGCCAACTCGAATTGGGCTCTAGGAATCTACGCACGACTTTTTGTCTGACATTTTTACTTATTTTACCATCATGTGAACACATAACACATGCTACACGAACCAGAATTTTCTATTCGATGAAAGTGGGATTTCCAAGTGGAACTCAAAACACACCTATGTTAGTTTACCCTTGTCTGCTTTTATAAGCTATAATATCGAAATGAGCAAAATGTTCGAGACGTTGTCCTTCCGTCGTCAAAATGTGCATTTATTTAATGGCCACTGAAACCAGGAGGTGAAGGTGGAATGGTGTGGTAGTACACGGAGACATCTATTAATGTAAAGCTAACAATATGCATCGTTTTTCTCATTAGGGAGACGCGAAACGGAGTTTGCGCTGATGACCGCCGACAGGATTATTCCTTTTGTACACATCACACCGTCGCTGCGGTTGCACATGTGTCTGCAGAGACCAACAGAATTTGTTTACAGGTTTTGGATACATAAGCCCAAGCTTCAGCAACTCTCCCATTCCTTGGAATAGCCACAATCTGCTTGCCATGAAGTTGGGGATTCTCGCAGCTGAATGTTTTAGCCATCAGTTGTTGGTCCAGTGGTCCTTAATGGTCAAAAGTCATTCATACTAAACCCATAATTTAAAGCGGTCCCTACATTTCTCACTCAGAACTCATTTGGCTGGTCACTTGGGGTTCATTCAAGCCTGCAGATCCTACTCATCATGTCATAAATCATGCCTCGAGAAGAGATCTGCCGACAGTTGTCAAGGCTCAAAGCTTCACGCTGAGACAAAGGCAAATTATGTGAAATGTTTGAATCCTTTCTCCGATTGTTCCAGGTTTTAAACGCTGTGAGAGCCTGGTAGTGCTAGATGCACACGGACTTGTTGTGAAGCGCATCGATTCACACTTGTCAATCCGGTCACTCCAGACTCCGACGCAAGGTCCCCTACGTGGGGGTAGCATATCCCTAACTGAACTTCGATACTGAAACTAAAACCGGTCAAGTATTTGTGCGCCCTGCTGTCATATACAGACCGAATTTCTCACTGGATAGATAATCTCTGATTTCAAAGGAGCAAACAAGTTCTAAGTCAATGTTGTTAACCAGGGAGAGAGCACCAATTCTAATCCAAAGGCATACGTTTCTTACCAGTGGCGTTCTGGGTCTGTGGAAGTAGGAGTAGGAATTATTAGTGGAAACGCCGGAAATCGATATTCATAAATTTTTGAAAGGTTGACAAACAATTGCATTCAAATTCATATAGTAGAATAGATCAGCATCTCTATGGGAGAAACAGTACAAAGGGGTTGCTGTGACTCGCATTGGTTCCGGTCGCTCCACCTCCCACACAGGGTTCCCCTTTTCGCAGCATGTCGTCGACAGTGCGGATCCTCAACTCCCCCCTCATTCTTGGATTATTCTCGCACCTAGGTATCGATGTTAGCGCATCTATGACTCACACATCTGAGGTATAAATACACACGCACAAACGCCACACACAACACGACGACACCAACGTGGTTGAACTCTGAAGTAAACGGTTGTGGCCACGTCTTATCTGACCTTTTTCTTCATTGCGGGTTACAGGGTAGGTTAATCGGGCCAGAGTTAACTTATTGGTCCAAGACCACATGTTGGGGCCCACAACAATTGGTGACCCCGACGTGATGAAAGGTTCTCCAAATTCAACAACAATACCTACTGTCACTAGAGATCCTCTGGCGATGTCTAAACTCATGAATATGTAACAGCTTTTAATCTGTGTATCATGTCCCAATTACACGATTTTTTTTCTTGGATTTAAAGTGATTAGTTTTAGTGGAGAAGGGAACTGGTTCGTGCCCCACTGTTTAACTCTTTGGCAAATACTAACAGAACTTTTCCAGGAAACAAACATTCGCTCTTCAGACAAACAGTCTCTGATTACAGCAAAATTGTTCAACTCCCTCCATCATCCTGCGCGATTCACCCAAAAATTATGAAAATGAAGCCCATTTAACACTGTGTAGATACAATAAGGAGGGAGCCTTTAAAAAGGCACACTCTACGGAACGGTTATTCATTAAATTGATAGAAACAGATCAAAAAGTGCTGAAGGCGTCAGCCTATATGGAGTACAACAGTCATCCTTCCTTCTGTAAGTAGTCGGTAATCTTCTTCAGCCGACTACTTAAAGCCCTATCTGCCTTGCCCACAGTGTTAACGATGGTACTAAATATTGTCTTCAAGCGTTAAATGCGTCACCCTGAAAGTTCTAGAGGGGGGTGGGAAAGAAGATCGTCGTGAATTATTACTGTTCGCATGCATTTTATTACAACTCTTTTCATGCTGCTTGGGTTATTGCCATTCGACCTTCTGACTCCGGCTCACACATTGCCTCCTCTTAGCTGAGAGCTACTCAGTGTCGGCTATAAGCATTTTATCCTTGTGCGCATAACAACGAATGGAAGCAACCTACAAGCGTACTTACCTGATGTGCCTGCCATTATCCATTCCCCTTGTATTTTCGACCACTTTAGGCGGTGACAATTCAGAACGGGGAAGTAAATTATCTCAACACTACAGGTGTCGCACCTCACCGACCTAATTCATTTCCAATGTAACATAATTTAATTCATTGAGCTAAATCGATGGGGATTATTTGGTTTTCAAATTGCAAAACATGTCGAGTGTTTAGCTTGAGTTAATGCCTGCAGCTATTAGATTCTACTGACGTAACTACACAATTTTTGATCTGGGACTACTATTTATGTTAGGTAACACAAGTGTCAATTTTCAGTATTTCCAGCGCATAAATAGCATATTAATATCATCTCTTCCTAAAGTCATAAAGTCTGCTCAGTTAACCGGACATTTTTAAGGGAAACCTGTAAATTGCAAAGCATTAGCAGGAGAGAATTGGGCATCTGTAGAAAGGTTATGCGATGAATCACTCTCACCGTGGATTATCATTCTACCCGCGAGCAAAATGCCGAGATGTAGTTTGGTTTTTTTCACAAAAGTACGACTTGAAAACAGAACACGCTTCTGCTCTGCCCGAAGTTATGACACAATTTCACTCCTGACTCGAATTTCGCAAAGCTTGGTTGATTTTTCACTGGCGTCTTTGTGTTTTCGAGGAGATCAGGAGCTACTTTTCTTCGGTTTTTTCAAATAACAAGTCACTTTTAGGCGGGTGTTTGTGTTTCAGTTAAACGCGGTTCAGTCAAACCATTCTTGATTTCAGTAGATTATTTACAAAACGTTGTGTTTTTGGTTTCGCGTCTGTAGAGGATTCTACTAGAAAAGCACCGTGGAAAGGGTTCGACCGAGGAGGCGAGTGCACAGTTGCTTGTGATTAAGATTGATTTAGCGCAATGTGTGGATCATAACAGGAGCACCCTGTTGCATTTAGCCAGAGTCAATCACATTTTATCAGTTACCGCTGTTCACGAATCACACTGTGTGTGCTTCAAACCCTTGGCAGAGCCAAAAGTAAAAAAATAACACTGGCACTTATTCTGGAGTGTCTGAGATACGTAAAACGTGTGGGTACAGGTCTATGAATAAAGGTTGAAAAATTTCGCTTCAGTGGCGTAATGCCTCGAAATGCAACTGGCCGGAAAATCAGTTTATCTCAATTTTGAATAGTTTCTGATTGTTGAACAACTTGAAAGTGACGGGAAAATGACCCAAGGGTGTGTATTCTACTTTACCAACTGGTATCGAATACAAATATCAGGTTATTCGTGTGTTCATGTGAGATGCCGTTAGAAAACAGAATCACTACAAAAAAACGAGACCCCATCTAGTGAACACCCTACTTTTATTGGATCAAAAACCAATGTTCCATGAAAAGTCCTAACCAGGGCCAAGTAACTTCATGGAAAATTTGTCGGTGGTAAGACGCGATTTCTCCAAAGTCGGTTATGAGTTTACAGTAAGTGGGGAAAATCATTTAGTGCATTTACGGTAGTGGATTGTAAGATAGTGTCTGATCTCACAGGATGAAAGTTCCCTACGAGAGGCGTTTAATTTCGATAAGAGATTTTCCCTCTTTGGCCGTTTTCGGCAGACATCTCATTACCACATTTCTTTATTCACTTATGCAATAAAGGTGATTGAAAGGAAATTATTTGGCTAATTCTACTGTAAAAGCACTTCTAGGAGGAAAATGATGCAAATAAAAAGTAACTGAAATAAAATTATTTTGAGATTTTGTGATTCATGAAGAAAGGGTTAATTTTGGTTTGCAGGATTGGAACGTGCAAATTGATTTTCTTCAGAATAAGGAGGTAAAAGTAAGTTAATCCAGTACTATTTGCAGGTATTTCAGGTCAAGGAATGAGTTATTCCTTTAACTGGTCACTTTCATTCAAAAACCAATGGATAACTTATTTTGCACGCTTCCACAATCATGCTAAGTAAAAAAATCTCGGGTTTCCAACACTGACGCTTTTTGCATTTTCCCAATCTCCGATTCCACAAGACACACATCAGCCCTGATTGCTTTACCTCAAGTTGTCGTCCAAATGTATCAGTAACCAAGCCAACAGTCGCAACCTCAAATCTTGGTGCAGAGTTTCTATAATCTACGGTTTTGGAGGTCAATGTAATTTAAGGATTTGAAGGGAACCAGACAAAAATGTTGTAGGATGTCTAAGCTTTTCATCTTGACCGAGAAAACGGTCTCTATCTAGTTCTAGGCAATTAGACATTGCGGAAATTTGCTGAGGCGAGACATGATTCTGATGAATTCGACGCTAGCCGAAGCCATGTTTCTTGGGACGCAAATGCCCCACCTCAAACATTGCGTTCGTCAAAGGTATCTGACGCTTTTATGCAAGTCTATAGATTTTGCAGAAAATTCTTGGCCGTTTTTGTCTTCATAATGTGCTTTACGCATCTCTGAAGGCTTAGGTTACCGTTGTAACTTGTAGAAAAATGTTATTTGGTCTAAAATGAAAGTGCACAAGGGCTTTAAATGAAATGAGCTAAGTATATTATGTGCTAAACATGATTGGTTCGTGCGTAAACAAGATTACGACAGCTTGTTTTAAGTTTGGACGCTGACATACGGTGTCCTTTCAAAATTTTTATGCATAATTCTAAATT